CGCGCTTGTTTTCTCTTGTCATGTAAGACTACACGAACATTTTTTTGTGATGTAGCTCAATAAAAGGACTTCTGTTGTTCAATGTCTCAATGTTATGTTCTAAAACAAATGGTAAACGCCATAGCGTGTACTATTGAGTTATGGATGCACGCGGGAGGTTGCTAAGCACGAAAGAAGCGTAAGAGTCGCACGAGGCTATCGCCTCGTGCGACTCTAGCTTCTTGAGTACTTAGCAAACCTCCCAAGCGTTTACCATTTGTTAATTGGTTATCTAAATATAGCGATATGACAGAATGATATTTGCTTTTGAGGACTAGAAATTGTGGCAAGAAATCAAGCAGCAAACAATGGCAGCTGATTGCGTTTAATTCGTGACTTGCTTTGAGGATTTCAATAGTTGCTCTTTTTCTCCTGTCAAACAACAGAGATAAAACTCCGCATGAGTTGAAAAATTAAATTCTCCTCATTCAGAATTTTCACACATTTCTTTTGATTTTAGTTGTGCTAATTTGGCGACACATCAATACAATGATATTAATTCCCTAACTGTTTATTTATTTTATTCTCATCACATGTCTGCTTAAATCGTATTGGTTTTGTTAGGAGAAGTTATAGATTGACTGCCTTTCCATGGGAAGCTGTAGCAGTTTGGCTTTCCTCGCGTTCAAGTATTTTTAAGATCAAATTTCCTCTCAAATCCACAGAATTACAGTAATGTTTTCCGCTTTCCGATTTGTAACTATTTAGCGCTCACGAACACAAAAGTCGTTTATGGAAATGCGATTAACACCGTAGAGAAACTAGCATAAAATCAGAACATTAATTGTTTTTTTTCAAGAAGGAAATGTCGCAGTCAAAATTGACCTCTTCAAAGTTGTGTGGTGTTATAATTCCAAGGCGACAAACGAGGGCTAAGCGAAGGTTAATTTGGCTTTTGTGGCGTTTATGGTTAGCAACGTTTTCTGTTTCGAAATCATTCGAGAACAAAGGCTAATTCCTTCAAATGCACGTTAATTTGTCTCCGAGCCGTGGCGTGGCCGCTGCACATGCAAAAACTCGAGCCAGGCGGGCTGTCATGGGGTCGAAGGGGCATCATTGATTGAGTAAGCTTCAAGGGCGTCTGTTAGCGAGAGTTCGTCGCAGTGGGGTCCAACAAATTCTTCCAGTGTCCCACACCAGAAACCTGCAAACCAAATCATTCAATTGCTAAACTGTAACAAATTTAAAGTTATATTAATTTAGAATATATTAGTTTTCAAAAGTTGTATACTCCTCAATGACTGAATGGAACCTTTGTAACAGAAATGTATTAATGAAAAAGTGCAATCGACACGATCGAATAAACGATCATAGTTCTCTAGTTCTACTTAATTATGAACACTGTGTAGCTCTGTCATAGTTAGGAAGCTTTTAAACCACCTCTAAGGAAGATCAACACATTACTTTGCTAACCTTAACTTTAAGGGCAAGAGGTAACGATTGATACTTCAAACAACGCGTTAACTTAAATATGTTTACGTTTCGTAGCATGAGAGATAAACAGTGTGGTGCTTTGTCACAATACAGCTAAGTTAATTCTTTCTTTACCCCAGTCGCTTGCAAAAACGCGCAATTGAACGCCCATTCAAGCCTGGGGGCTTTCCTAACCCCCTTGAAGTTTACAAATTGTCGATTTACCCCTAAGATAGGTGTTAAATTTGCCACCTTTTCAAACGAGGAACAGAATCCTGTTGTGTAAAGTGAGCTTTAATGTGTACACGTTTAATTAAATAAAGCTTAGACCCACTTACTTTCATTAAAGAAAACTCCCTCCGGTGAGCACTGTGATCCGAATTCTGTACTGCTCGTGTTTGAAGACGTTTCTTCGTCGCTTAAACGTTGTCGTTTGTTCGTTGGTTCGGCTTCGTCTTCGTCTTTTTCGCTGTCATCTTCTGAATCTTTCTCTAAAATGTTCGCTAGAACAGAGATATAATGAATGGCCAACCGAAGTGTCGCGATCTTCGAGAGTTTCTCGTCTCCGTCATAGCTCTCTTTTGGAATAACTTTCCTTAGTTCCTCAAACGCTCGGTTCAACTTATGCATGCGGTTTCTCTCCCTGACTGTTGCACAGTCCCGGTTTGACCTCAGATGAGGGTACCTTCGTAACCGATTCGAATCTCGAAAGCAGTCATTACACATGTCCTCTTGCTCGTCCTCAATGCTCGCCAACATTGCAAGCTTGCTTCGTGTCTCGCGAGATGCTGGGCGGAGATGATAGCGTTTTTTCGCGCTTTGATTTCTTACGGAGGTATCCATGTTTTTTCAGTTGTGTGGTTTCTTCTCCTCGCTGTGTAGGTATGACTTTTGTTGGCTTCCTATGTACATTCTTGACGTTCCCACAAGCTCCGCCCAACCAATCAGACCTCATTAAAAAGTTCCGATAGATGTCCTTAATAGACGTCAAGTGTCATCCAGCCTGCAAATCAGCATTGAGTATTTTCGGTACAAAGCCGATCTCTTGACCTCTGATAATCCTTTTAACGGCGCAAAGCCCTTGAAAAGCGACAGCTTAAAAAAACTCGCCTTAATGTCACAGTAGCAAATTGCATCCGTTCCGATCGATTGCTTAACATGATCATGATTCTAATAAATTTTAAAATCATTTCGGTTATCTCTCTGCCCTGTTCCACGTTATATTTCGTGTGAGTCAATTAGGAAACGGAAAAAGCTGTCAAAAATGATTTAGTATTTTTTAATTACTGCCTGACAGAATAACAATGTCGCGACTTAGGCTATTGACACAGCTAAAGTATATGACAAACATTATCCTAAATATAAAACCATTGAAAACCTCCGAAGTTTTAAGACACCTTGTTCTGTGATAACCTGCCATGTATTTCGTTAGCAAAGATAAAGAAAGTGAACGAGAAAAAACTTTCGCTATTGCCATCACAGGTAAATATTACAAGTCCCGGGTTCAATACTGGTAAATATCACTTGATCCAGTCAATAACTCCAGTAAATAGACCCCTCCAGCCTTTTGATCCGTATCAATAACACTTGTGCAAACTGGCGGATTTGAACCTCGGAGAATTCAGTCGTCAATGGTTTCTTAATTTCTTCCAGGTGCGTGAAAATAAACTGGCTTATATCCCGGAATACCCGGGATATCATCAATGAAAATAACGTTCAGTATTCCCTAACAGTCATCAGTGTATTGTTTCAATCCGGAAAACGAAAAAATCCACAGCAGACAGACTCGTTTGCTTACTAACGAGTCCACTTTGATAGGTCCTGTAACTTCGGGGATTTTATTATTTGTTTTGCCTCCTTGGGACTCTAGCTCCTTTTGTTCCAAAAGTAAAGTCTCTGGCACAATTAAGAGCCCCGTCAAGGTACTTTCATTTATTTTGGCCACGTACAAAATGACCTTTAAGTTGAAGGAAACCTAAAAATAGTAGTACACTAGGATAGAAAAAAAATCAGAGACAATAATAAGCCATAAAGGAACAAGGTTTGTAAAGGATGGAGAAGATTAACACGGATTACAAACGATGAACTTGAAAAATTAAGGCTTAATTTTCCAAGATGCGCAAGGCGTCACGTAGCTCCTTTAGATGTACCTGATTCGAACAATACCAAAATCTGACGATAAATCGACTGTTTCCACGTTACTTTCGGGAACACTGAAGTTCAAGAATATCAGAACTGACTCGCGCGCCCGACTCTTGACGAGAAGCAGTCTCTAAATATGGCCTGTCTCTCTTTTTATCTGCCAGTAAAGCGAGATTTTCGTTGTCGCGTTATTTTACGTGCGTTACTAGGCGTCATCTTAACTGACCTAGTTACGTACGTAAAATAAAATGTGGGTTGCGTCTGCAAAAAAGGTTGATTCTCATTCAACTTTTTCAGGGACCGTAAGCCAAACTGAAACACGACCACTGAGGATCGCAGCGGTGACACGTTTTTTTTTTTTTAATATATAAGAATGTATATCTTTGTAGACATGATTGATCATCAGTTGTGAAATGAAAGCCTGAAAAAATCTCAGGCCTGAACGGGATTCGAACCCATGACCTCTGCGATACCGCATTCTTCACCATCTACGGGTATATTACGAACTCACAACTTGACAAGCTCCCAGTTGGCTTGGTGCAGTGTTCTACAAACTGAACCATGTTCATCTTTCTCCGCAGTTCAAACATATGAGCCGTCATATATTCACTTGCAATATATAGTTTTCATGCCAATATGGATTTTCTTATTTTTCTGTCGACTTTAGGCAGAAAATATTCTTGTTTACATTCTTAGATTCCTAGAGTACAAGTTTCAGTTAAATAAAACGGATGAGACTAGGAATTGAACACTCGCAGCTCTTTTTTTATTGGAATATTGTTTTTCCCGGCTTTGCTGAATATTATTACTTTTCTGCCGATTTTAGGCTGAAAATATTCTTGCTGATATTCTTAGATCATAGCATATGACATTTCTGTTTTCGAATGTATTTNATCTTTAGGCAAAATAATTGATAACAACTGCGAAAATAGATTTTCCGAGCTAAAAATATGTTGCCATTGCAATGTTTTTCTTAATTGTTTCAAATGTATCCGCTCAAAAGATTGAACCCACAAATCCCTCGAGTAATTTTGTATTATGATTTTCTTCAAACCATGCCCATTACCAGAAGTTCGTTCTAAACAGGCGCACTAGAAATGAAAATTTTAATAAAAGTAATCTTAAACTATAAAATGAGAGCTTTTTGCAAAGCTGCCAGGGAGACCTGCTTGCAATACGATTGCAAAAAAAGAAAAAATGGATTATATATATCTCAATTTTCAATGCAAACAATTTTGCTCCGGCAGTATCTCCCTTCTTTTCCTCCTAGCACTAAAGCCGTAAAGGAAATATTTCCGCTAAAAATAAGCACGGGTCTATATTTGAACAGACCCTCACACGTGAGAAAATCTATACATTGAACAGACAATTTATGTCACTCAGTTTCCTTAAACCTGTAATGAACCATTTAGAGATCAGCCTGACCAATATGAAGGGGTCGTTTTAGACTTGAATTCATGAAGGGTTAGGGAGTTAGTCACCTTATAGGCCTTATTCCCAAGGTTATGGCCTCTCAAGTCATTAAGGAGTTTGAGAAGCCACGACGGCGGCGCCAAGGACAAAGTCCATTAAAAAATGAACTTTTATCATACCTACGAATCTCGCGATACCCTAAAGTGATTTAGTTTGTTTCTCACTGTCAAAACTATCTCGAAATTGAATATAGAACGCAGCGTTAAATTCGGAATATAAATTTAAAACATTATCCGTTGTGGCTCACGTTCTCCAGACAAGGCAGAATACGGTCATTTCACGTTGTCCTTTTGCAAAGGACGGCAAAGAAATGTATCAAGAATTACAACACACGTGCACAGCCATTGTTCCGCTCATTAAGCCTCGGCCAAACGATCGCAACATATCAACACAACATATCGCAACATTGTTGGCCCAGCATTTGCAAGCCCCGGCCAAACGATCGCAACATTTCAGCAAAACATATCGCAGCATTGTTGGGTGCAACATGTTGCGCGCGTTTGGCCATCATGTTGCGATGTGTTGCGTGATGGTGGGTATTGAAAATCGAACTAGTGCACATGCACACTATAATATTATGCAACATCCACAATTTAACAAATGGTAAACGCCATAGCGTGTACTATTGAGTTATGGATGCACGCGGGAGGTTGCTAAGCACGAAAGAAGCGTAAGAGTCGCACGAGGCTATCGCCTCGTGCGACTCTAGCTTCTTGAGTACTTAGCAAACCTCCCAAGCGTTTACCATTTGTTAATTGGTTATCTAAATATAGCGATATGACAGAATGATATTTGCTTTTGAGGACTAGAAATTGTGGCAAGAAATCAAGCAGCAAACAATGGCAGCTGATTGCGTTTAATTCGTGACTTGCTTTGAGGATTTCAATAGTTGCTCTTTTTCTCCTGTCAAACAACAGAGATAAAACTCCGCATGAGTTGAAAAATTAAATTCTCCTCATTCAGAATTTTCACACATTTCTTTTGATTTTAGTTGTGCTAATTTGGCGACACATCAATACAATGATATTAATTCCCTAACTGTTTATTTATTTTATTCTCATCACATGTCTGCTTAAATCGTATTGGTTTTGTTAGGAGAAGTTATAGATTGACTGCCTTTCCATGGGAAGCTGTAGCAGTTTGGCTTTCCTCGCGTTCAAGTATTTTTAAGATCAAATTTCCTCTCAAATCCACAGAATTACAGTAATGTTTTCCGCTTTCCGATTTGTAACTATTTAGCGCTCACGAACACAAAAGTCGTTTATGGAAATGCGATTAACACCGTAGAGAAACTAGCATAAAATCAGAACATTAATTGTTTTTTTTCAAGAAGGAAATGTCGCAGTCAAAATTGACCTCTTCAAAGTTGTGTGGTGTTATAATTCCAAGGCGACAAACGAGGGCTAAGCGAAGGTTAATTTGGCTTTTGTGGCGTTTATGGTTAGCAACGTTTTCTGTTTCGAAATCATTCGAGAACAAAGGCTAATTCCTTCAAATGCACGTTAATTTGTCTCCGAGCCGTGGCGTGGCCGCTGCACATGCAAAAACTCGAGCCAGGCGGGCTGTCATGGGGTCGAAGGGGCATCATTGATTGAGTAAGCTTCAAGGGCGTCTGTTAGCGAGAGTTCGTCGCAGTGGGGTCCAACAAATTCTTCCAGTGTCCCACACCAGAAACCTGCAAACCAAATCATTCAATTGCTAAACTGTAACAAATTTAAAGTTATATTAATTTAGAATATATTAGTTTTCAAAAGTTGTATACTCCTCAATGACTGAATGGAACCTTTGTAACAGAAATGTATTAATGAAAAAGTGCAATCGACACGATCGAATAAACGATCATAGTTCTCTAGTTCTACTTAATTATGAACACTGTGTAGCTCTGTCATAGTTAGGAAGCTTTTAAACCACCTCTAAGGAAGATCAACACATTACTTTGCTAACCTTAACTTTAAGGGCAAGAGGTAACGATTGATACTTCAAACAACGCGTTAACTTAAATATGTTTACGTTTCGTAGCATGAGAGATAAACAGTGTGGTGCTTTGTCACAATACAGCTAAGTTAATTCTTTCTTTACCCCAGTCGCTTGCAAAAACGCGCAATTGAACGCCCATTCAAGCCTGGGGGCTTTCCTAACCCCCTTGAAGTTTACAAATTGTCGATTTACCCCTAAGATAGGTGTTAAATTTGCCACCTTTTCAAACGAGGAACAGAATCCTGTTGTGTAAAGTGAGCTTTAATGTGTACACGTTTAATTAAATAAAGCTTAGACCCACTTACTTTCATTAAAGAAAACTCCCTCCGGTGAGCACTGTGATCCGAATTCTGTACTGCTCGTGTTTGAAGACGTTTCTTCGTCGCTTAAACGTTGTCGTTTGTTCGTTGGTTCGGCTTCGTCTTCGTCTTTTTCGCTGTCATCTTCTGAATCTTTCTCTAAAATGTTCGCTAGAACAGAGATATAATGAATGGCCAACCGAAGTGTCGCGATCTTCGAGAGTTTCTCGTCTCCGTCATAGCTCTCTTTTGGAATAACTTTCCTTAGTTCCTCAAACGCTCGGTTCAACTTATGCATGCGGTTTCTCTCCCTGACTGTTGCACAGTCCCGGTTTGACCTCAGATGAGGGTACCTTCGTAACCGATTCGAATCTCGAAAGCAGTCATTACACATGTCCTCTTGCTCGTCCTCAATGCTCGCCAACATTGCAAGCTTGCTTCGTGTCTCGCGAGATGCTGGGCGGAGATGATAGCGTTTTTTCGCGCTTTGATTTCTTACGGAGGTATCCATGTTTTTTCAGTTGTGTGGTTTCTTCTCCTCGCTGTGTAGGTATGACTTTTGTTGGCTTCCTATGTACATTCTTGACGTTCCCACAAGCTCCGCCCAACCAATCAGACCTCATTAAAAAGTTCCGATAGATGTCCTTAATAGACGTCAAGTGTCATCCAGCCTGCAAATCAGCATTGAGTATTTTCGGTACAAAGCCGATCTCTTGACCTCTGATAATCCTTTTAACGGCGCAAAGCCCTTGAAAAGCGACAGCTTAAAAAAACTCGCCTTAATGTCACAGTAGCAAATTGCATCCGTTCCGATCGATTGCTTAACATGATCATGATTCTAATAAATTTTAAAATCATTTCGGTTATCTCTCTGCCCTGTTCCACGTTATATTTCGTGTGAGTCAATTAGGAAACGGAAAAAGCTGTCAAAAATGATTTAGTATTTTTTAATTACTGCCTGACAGAATAACAATGTCGCGACTTAGGCTATTGACACAGCTAAAGTATATGACAAACATTATCCTAAATATAA